AGGTTTGAAAGTCTACATCTACTGGTTGCGCCCAACAGAAATTAAATAGCCGACCGAAATAATGTTTACGACGTTACGAACTCCGATTGCCAAGAGGAGACAACAGAACAACAAGGCAGCTCGACGCGCCAATTAATCAAGCTCGCTGATTGCCGGTTTAGTGCTCCGAGTCGACTAATCAAGCCATGAAATCGTAATCCTGGCATCGATCAAGCCTGGAAATTTCGTGATCGAGTTCCGCGCAATGGCCACGCCCGCCCGCGGAGAAAGCCTTCTCGACTGTGCCACGAAGAACGGGATTCTTTTCAACGAGATCATCGTCAATATCCAGACGACTGCGAAGGAGCGGGCAAGAGTGGAATTTAGTAGCGATTTTCAAAAATTCGGAAATGGTATCATTACGGAAACACAACTGATTGCGTGCTCGCATCTTCACTGTAGATATGTTCGTGGTGGTGCCATGCATACACGATCATCACCAAATATATATCGTAGAGATATGTCGAGAATAGTAGAGATATACGACTAGTAGTGATGATAATAATAATAATAATAATAATAATAATAATAGTAACTAGAAAGAGCAGTTGTCGCCAACTACATGTATCCCCCGTGATCTAGTATGAATGAAATATCTCTGTAAGGACGTAGAAGGTAGGTAAAGTTAAATAAGTCACAAAGACAAAGGTTTGTTACACAACTCATCTGCCTGAGATGTGCAAGTATGTTAAAATTGGTTGCCTTAGGGGTTTTGGTACGCGACACACCTTCTCCCCAAGATGTGTAAGTATACGAAGTTTGCTCGCGCTAGGTCAATTAGGGGCAGAGTTATAGAGCGGAAGGGAAATATGATGAAGGTCAAGGTCAAGGTCAATGTCATATAAAGGTTGCAGTGACCTTGTTTCAGTACACGACACACCTTCTCCCCAAGATGTGTACAAGTATACCAAGTTTACTTATACAATAAGGGAGACAAGGGGATACAATAATAAAAGTAGAGATATGTCGAACGATGAATGCCATGGGGTTCGACCTGATCGTCTCTCCATCCTCTCCGCGGGTCTTCTGCGAGTGTTTGCACCACCGCACTCTCTCTCAGTGTTGAGACCCGAGATTCGTCGCTGACTTATCGCCGTAAACCAATCGCCCAACGCCTCACTCATCGATCAATCGTTTCTGCAAGCGATGATCCGAGTGAGTGTTTCAGATCGGCTTCCAACCCCCAATGTTGACCCGTCTACAAAGACAAACTGTAGCACCATGCGAAACCATCTCCCTCCCATCTCCCCCCGCCCCTGACTTTCGCGGCCAACGCCGTGCTGTACATATATATCTCAGTCAGCGACTGCGGCACGCCACCAGCTGCTATAAAACTCGACGCAACTCCTGCGTGAAGCCGGGGCCAAATATAAATTCGCCTACGCGCGTACCACAGTGGGAAGAGAAGTACCCTCCCCCTCCCCCGAAAAAAAACTGGTCCAATTACCCATCCGCACATAAACTACGTGCGCGCGTACACGTCGTGGGTACACGTACCAGTGCTCCGGACCGTGCATCGGCTAAACACGCAGCCCACTTCCTGGTGTGCGGGCCTGGCTCGCCGCCGCAGCACCGAAATACCAGTTTTTCCTACCCATTTATTTTCTTTTGTCGCGACGAGATAGCGGAGTGTTTGAGAGTTCGGGCGCGCGCGCGATCCTCAATAAACTACGCTTCTCGCGCGGCGGCGGGTGCACATCCGCATTTTGTTCTACTGGGTGTGGAATGCAGATTCGGCGCATAACCTAGCTATAGTGGCCGGTCGAGATCGCTGCTTGAATGGCTCAGACGCACGCATTCACGCATTGACGAACGCCGGTGCACGCACGCACACACATACGCACACAACCACACACACGCACGCACGCACGCACGCACGCACGCACGCACACACACACACCACACACACATACACACGCGCGCGCATGCACAAACACACATATACACACACGCACAAACACACACACCCACATGCACGCATGTACGCACACACAAACAGATGCACACACACATGCGCGCGCACGCACAAACACACATATACACACACGCACAAACACACATGCACCCACATGCATGCATGCACGCACACACAAACAGACGCACACACACATGCGTGCACACACACCCACAGTGACCCACATGCATGCATGCACATACAAACACAGACACACGCACGCACAAACACAGACACACACATGCATGAACACACACAAACAGCGCTAGAAACTCGTGAAATTTCCAGCTAGCCCAAATATAAAAATTCGGGCCAGTGAGAATTGAAATCCACTGGTCCGAAACAAAACTTATCGTAAGCCCAGAGAGACATTTTCTCCCGCAAGAGGCCGCTCCTTAGTATAGCTTCGTATAGTCTGGTTCCACTATTAAACTAAATTGTTAATGCAGTATAGTGAAATACAGCGGGTACCAGTTAAAGTTTAAGCATGTATGAGACCTGAGAGACTGTGTGTCATCTTACATGAAGTGAGAACAACAACATGGATGCGCCCGGCTGTAAAAATTTGCCGTGCATGCAGCTGCATAATTTGTGTTCGAGAGGGAACAAAATTTATTATTTGGGTTTTTCTGATACTCAGCCAACTGAAATTTGAGGCGATGTATATAATATATCGCACACAGTTGGCGAAAAGGTAATCGCCCAACAGTTCTTTCTTGGGCGACTGGGGATGAGTGTTTAGGCAAGTTTCACTCGCCCGACAGCCTTTTTAGTCGCCTGTGGTGACCGGGCAACCAGCCTTTTCAAGCGCTGCACACAAACATACAGACCCGCACACACACACACACACACCTACCATGCTGTAATTGGTGTGTCTACACCCTTCACACTGCACTGTATTGTCTGCACTTGCTCAGCTGTGAACCGCTGAACAACACGCGAACTCAAACTTAAAATGCATCATCGCGATGGCAAGCGTGAACACGACCCCGAAATGAGCTGCACTCACACACATCCATATGAATGTACATATAGAGCCGGCTTTACGCCTTTCATTTCTGTTCTGTCGCGGTTCTACGATCATCGCAATCGGGCATTTTGTATCTGCACAGATTATTCGCAAACATGCAAGGCTTTACTGCACTGAATTGATAATATTGGACACCGTATCGTAACTGCTGCTGCAACATAGAAATAACGACTAGCTGCTTATTGACAGCAAACAGCAAACAAGTCATCTGAATCATCATTATCTTACACGTGACATAAGTTACTAACGGATGAATAAAAAACAAATTTGTTTTTAGTCACTCCTGTAACCTGTTACTATCATCCATCGTTGGACTCGCTCACAGAACAGGGTGCGAAATTAACGGGAGTCCAGCAGTGAAAAAAATACACAGGGGCTCGGGGCGATTTAGCCCCCCGAAATGCCAAAAAGAACCACGGAAATGCCAAAAAGAGCCCCCGTAAATTTGCATAGAGTTCAATGCAAACCAAATTTTAGAGTGCTATTTTCATCCACGCGAGCTTAAAAAGTAGCCCCCGAAAAATAAATTGTATTTTTTTCCTTGAAGTCCGGAGACAAATACTCCCCGATTTACTGTCGGACTCCCTGATTTGACATATGCAGGAGTCCGTGTGACTCCCTGGAAATTCTGCTAACTAACTAGTTCATTCTGTTACCACTGCGATAGCTCAATGGTTGAGTGCTCGCCTCATATGTGGAAGGTCGGGGGTTCAACTCCTGGCCGGGTCATACCAAACACTTGAAAAATGGTACAAACGGCTTCTCTGCTTAGCATTCAGCAAAAAGAGATAGAGTGTGGCAAGTTAACTCGCAATGCTACCAGTGGATTAACCCCCTACTGTAGCATTTACTGTGAAAGCAGCTGCGGGGCCTCAGGGTTACTGAAATGGAGATAGGCACCGCCCTAAGCGCCATGTAACCATGCGCTATGCGTATGAAGGCGCGGGAAGGATTTAACTTAACTAGTTCATTCCAGAGAACGGCCTCGTGAAATTACCATATTTTTTCAGCAAATATCCAAAGAATTTGCCAGACGTGCAACGGCCAACCGCATGAATCTTCAAAATACATGCGTTATTGTTAATATTTTTAGTTTTGAACTTCAGACTGCAGACTCCTTCATTTTGCTGCAGACTCCCCTCTGTTTGAGGGCAGGGAGTCCGTTGAACTCCCTTGTTCAAAAGTTAATTTCTACCCCTGCAGAATATGATTAAATGCACCCGGGCACCCCACAATTCTGATACAGGGGGTTTAGCTAACTCACTATTATATCTTTACCCATTCAGGCGCGTCTCTGAAACAGCATCACCATATCTTGGATTTTTATTATCCGTTCACATGCAGCGTTAGTTTTCTCTATCGATTTGTATACATTTAATTGTTACCATCAAATGGTGTTGAATAAATATTGTCTATCTGTTATTGAAATATGGAAACTGCACAACCGGTCCCCAAGAAAACGTTGTCGCACCACCATCCACGGCACCTCCATGAATGCCACTGACCTGCCACTTATCTCTCACAATCTGCTTACAATACATACATGCTAAACCTAATAAACCTCTATCGATAATCATTGTATACGAATTCGAATATAAACGATACGCGGCTATGTGTAGTTTCTGCCATCAAACCTGCTCTCTCACTCTCTCACAGGGATTATCTGCTTGCAGCTGCAGAACTTAGCAGTTGTTGTTGTAGTAGTTTTCTGCTCATCTTACCCAGATTGTTTGCCTGCTGTGTAACTCCGCGCTGTATATGAAGCTTTGCTGCAGCACCCCAACCTAACCACCCGCCCCTCAACCCCCACACGCCCCCTCAACCTACACCCTCCCACCCTCAACTCCCACACACACCCCTCAACCGCCACCCACCCGGCTTCAACCACCGCCCGCAACTTTAACCCTCAACCCCCACCACCCCCCCCTCCCCCGCCCTCAACCACCGCCCCCGCCCTCGACCGCGAGCGCATCTTACCGGGGTTGTTTGCCTGCTGTTCGAGCACGCGTAGCTCGGCGCTGTCAGCGAGGTCGTGCTGCAGCACGACGCCAAGGAAGCGCGCCTGCGTCGGCTGCAGCTTCTTCAGCAGCGAGACGAGCGCGACGACCTGCTCGCAGGCGTTCCACTGCAGGAAGCATCCCGTCACGCCGTTCACCTGGTCCCGGAACATGAACGACGTCGGCGATCGCATCGTTCGCGACGGCGTCTCCGCGCGCGCGCGCGTGCTAGTATCCGTGCAAGCGTTCACGTAGTCCTATTGACACTGCAAGAACAACAGGTGAAGTTTGTAGTCCAACTGTCACTGCACCGGATATAGTGACAAGGACGTTTGTAGTCCTGCTGTCACTGTAAGAATAAGTGGTGACGTTGACGACGTAATCCTATTGACGCTGCAAGAACAAGAGGTGACGTTTGTCGTCCTACTTTCACTGTAAGAAGAAGAGGCGACATTGGTGACGTAGTCTGGAAGACACTGAGGGACAATGGCGGACGCAAGTCTAGTATCCTTATTGATACAGTAATAATGAAAGCATGATGTGAGTTAGTGAGCGAACTGGAGTTCACGTAGTCCCATTGACACTGCAAGATTAAGAGGTGACGACGAGATTCGACTTGCCCCAAGAAGTTGCTCGGTCTCAAATGTCTCAATGATCGTGCAAGCAGGTCTATGTGCAGGGCACCATTCCTAGTCACATCACGTTTCACAACAAAGAGTGCACTTTAACAGGTTTTTTTTTTATTAACAGCAGGTACGCACGCATCGCTGCGATCGGCTGCACGTCTCAGACACTCGACGCTTTTTCAGTTTCATTCAATGATTCATCTGGTACTCACTGCAACGTGGCACCATAAGAACATTCTAGATACGTAGCTATTCGTTACAGCATCTTGTGACGCAATGACACGGTTCATATTTACTAATTCACAATCCTCATTCATCACTGCTGCAGCGTGTGAAAAAGAAGAATATGTCAACGAATCTCTCTATTCGTCACGCTTTGCATACATTAATCAGGGCCTTAATCATACCCATGTTTTATTTGTCACATTAAACATAAACAAACACTTTACTGACACATTCCATTCGTAGATCAACTATTGAAATCGGTAAGAAAGTTCACGAATTAAAATACGGCGATAACGGCATACAAATATGTAACACAAATAGCGAACGATAATACTATTACTAATCGAATTCGAAACGACCCCATTCCGTTACGTACCACTGAAACTGAAACTGAAAGCGCAGTACAGCCTGCAGAGTACGCCTACGGCAGTAACGTGTAACGATAATAAACCGAGCGACATCAGCGTGTTTCGTCTGCAATGTCGTAGGCGGAAGGATAAGAGCACTTACCTGTAGATTTTCTTGCATCATCATGAGAACAAAGGTTGCGTATACATCGTTCTCTTATGGTGGTGTATATTGTTGAATATTCGCAGCACAAAATATTGATATGATTTCACGAAACATGTTTCGCATTTCGAAAATCTAGCAAAGTGAAATGCCGCCAGGTGGCAGCACAATGCTTGCCAACGTAGTGCCACCTATAGGGTCATATCACGAGCTTTCAGAGGCGTTCAACGATATTAGCATGTACATATTATCAAGAGCTGATAATTAGAGTAATAAGAGTATTATTAGCTCTTGATATTATTTATATATATATACATATATACGTTATATCTTGCTTATACATGCATAGTTAAGTTCATTATATTGGGGAGGGTTTATCCTAGTATACATACCCAAAGATTTGAGTGTAAAAGCAAGACTGTACAGGGATGAAGCGCCTTGCAATGCCTTAATTTACAAATTTCGATTAAAACTGTGATTATTGACTTGCATTGCCAATGTCATTGGTAATCGCACTGTAATGCGCCTGGGTTGAACCTACACCTATTGGAACGCATATTAATAATGTTCTACACATACTTCAACGTCGTGTCAACCATTCCGGTCGGTGACTGGATGCGTAGGTAGGCTACCGCGAATCCGAGACTCGTCAACATTACGTGTTCCTAGTTTAACGTTGCGATAAGCGATAAGTCGATAACACACAAGGGGAGTTATTCCTGAATAGCCGAACTTTCCCGGCCGCCTCTTAGGGGGAGCAATGGCTCACAAAGTACACGGTAAAATGACTAACGTACGGTGATCGAGTATAGACCTTGTGCACGTGACGTCATAGCATCATGTTCTATTGTTTTCCCGGCATATTGGTGATCACCTCATTCTGCTTAGCTGACTTAGACTG